GTCTATCGTAAGTCTTTTTCTTCCACAAATAAGCACAACAATCTTGTTTTTCTAAAACAACAATGTTTATGCTCAATTTGTTAGAACAGGCTGATATTGCTATACCAAATGGTCCAACTTCAACTACAATAATGTCAATTTCTTCCTTTGTGAAATTAGCCATTGCAAAAATTTTAGAAAATTAAAGAGAAGTTTTTTATTGAGAATGTTGAAAAGAAAATTGCAATAAGATTTCAAGAAAGGATAATTAGACAATGAGGTATTTATTTATGGTCTTCAAACAGGACAAAGATGATATATTTTTTTTTCCTTTTTTAGAGTGTAATAGAAAACAACAGGTACAAGTAAATGCAAAATTTTTATTATTGAAACAAAATCTGGGTTTTTTCTCAATTCTTTGGTATAAGTGAAAACATTTAATTGAAAGTTATCTTTAGCTAAAGCTAAAACGTGTCATATTCATTTTTCTATAAATGAATTTTGCAGTTTCAAAAAGAGACAAATTATAAAAATTTAATTGAATTTGACATAAGTTTATTGACCGGCTAAAGTGTAATTCATGAACTAAACGAATCTACACAACTAGGGCTCTGAATTTCATGCCAAAATTAAGCAACATGGTTACGAAAATGTAATATTCTGATTAGGATTATTCTAACACTTAAATCACAACAATTATATGAAGTTCTAGAAACCCTAAGTCTAAAAAATATGAAGGAAATCAAGAATCTGACTGAATTCTAGGGAACTAATGGGTGAAAGAAACCCAGTAGTGAAATACCACATACCTGGTAATGAAATTCACGGAGAAATCCTTCGATTTCGGGCATAAACTTGAAAGAAACCTGCTGATTGTTCTAAGGAAAGCTGACGCCTCTTTATTCTTCTTTTGTTCTAGTGAAATGTGCATAATATTCTATCAACAATATCCTCTAAGGAGGCTATTGTAAGCAAAATAAAACACCCAATTTTTTTTATAGTATTCTTACAACACTAAGTTTGTATTGTTCTAACTTATAAAACACCAAAAGTAAGAGAAATTTACTTTTTGTACTTTTGCAGACTTGCAGTACCTTTTGGTATTATTTAATGAAATTTATTTTGCCTTATCCAAAGAAAAAAGGAGAAAGAAAAAGATGGTTTGGTGCACCTTTTGTAAAGCACCCTCTTGTAAGAGCGGACAACAGTGTTATTCTTATAAACTTCTTGTTGTTGTATTTAACCCTTTTTGTCCATAAAAACAAAAGACCATGATTTTTAGGAAGGCCATAGCTTATTAACTTCATCTCAATTTCCTCCCTCATGGCCTTTGCTTTTTCAGAATGACTTTCAATGTTTCTGAATGACATTTTGCTTATTTGTTTTGTATGTGTATATTTTGTTTCTAGAGGGCTACTAATGTAGTTGTTTAGTTAATAATCTATTTTTTTTCTTTTTCATTTAGGGTCATGTGAACTTCACAGACACAATATCCTCCAATACTGCCACCATTTTCTGCCATATTAGAAGGTAACTATGAACCGTTACCTTTTTCAATTATCGAACGCCTTTTGGAAGGGATGTACTAATTTTAGCATCAGTACAGAGTGTTGTGAAGTACTGTAGTAGAAAAGTGTCACTCCCCAAGCCTATACCCTGGGCGTGGCCGGCACTCGAGAACAATTGCTGGCCCTAAGCGAACCCTTGGCCTGACTTACTTACTCAGTGGAAGACTTAATTCAACAAAGACAAGTCTATGTAATAAACTGGAATGTTATGAAGGAACATTAAACTGGCCATTTAGGCAAACTCAAGTCTCAACATAAGATAATGATAATGAAAAGACTAAAGAACTAAGATCTGACTGTCTATGAAACCTCTAAAATAACTGAGATGGATGTCGGGACAAACCCCACGACATCCTAATGAACTAATAAAATAACTGAAAGCAATAAAAAGGAGTCCTCCGGAATTCAAGGAGGCTCACCATCTGACTCTGGAGTGCTCACTGGATCAACGATGCGCTGGATGCCGATCGTAGTTATCTGTGTCTGTATCATAATAAGATGCAGGCCAACTGGCATCAGTACATTAAATGTACGAGTATGGGAGTTGGAATGCTAAACACAACATAGGCTTGAAAGGAATCCGAAGAACTTACCTAGCTTAACTCAACTCAACATAACTGAACTCATTTCAATATAAAGTAGTTTAAAACAAGTGCAATATAAAGAAAAACTGTTTAAAACATGATGTGAACTTTCTGTGTATGCAAAGATACATATAACTCTGAGATGTATTTAAAAATACAAATAAACTGTGTATTTAAGAAATCAATTATTTATGTGGGAGTTTTTCTAACCGACAACTATCACGTAAGAGCTATTGTGATGATACAACATTTTGCCTCACGCTGCCAGGGCCGTCCTATACTTTGCCGAGGGTATAGAACCTGAACTACTTAGTGGATCCACTAGTCTATGCTAAAAACACTAAAGGAATCATCTAAAAAGTATGACCCTTTTCTACCCATGATGGCTACATGGTTTATGGGGGCTGTGAGTTGTCTGAACTCTCCCCCATATCGGTGCTCAATAGTACTCCCAAAATAAGATATTAGCTCTTATATTTAAAATATACTTCTTTCTGTGAATTGAGATTGGTGCTCAAAAACTAAGCTCAAAGGCTATCTTGGAAATCAAAGTTTCCTCTCTTGCTTCATTTAGAAAGCGATTACTATTTTCTGAAAACTAGCCCGAAGGCTCTTTGGAAATCGAAGTTTCCTTTCTTGTTTAAATGTGAAAACATTTTAAACCCTTTGGGAATACATAGTCCCCATATTTTTTTGAATAAATGAACTTTAAACTTTACTCTTTAATCTTTACTCAACTTGAACTTTAAGTCGTAAAACAAAGTTAAAACATTTGGTAAAGACTTTTGGAAAACTCTAAGAACTTCTCTTGACTTGACTCTTACTTCTCTTGCCTTTGATCTTAACTTTCATTGAATTGGATTATGGATTCAAGGTTCATGATCTCATGTTTATGGATGATTTCATGAGGTTTATATGTACCTTAGAGTGTTGGAACCAATTAGAAAACATAGGTACATTGCTAAGGAACAAGTACTAAAAGGTGGGAAAGAAATAGGAAAGACTGGCGTCCCTGGTGCTTTGAGAGGCGCGGGGCGCCACAGGGAAAAGTTCATAGACTACCCTGGGGTGCGCTGGCTGGAGCGGCGCGGGGCGCCCCAAGGGTGAAAGTTCAGAGCCCTCTTTCGGGCGCGTTGGCTGGCGCGACGCCCCACCCCTATCCCCAGGTGTTTGACGTACTTTTATTGCTTCGTTTTTCATCTCTAAACCCTCTAAACTTCAATGGTTCTTTCCCCAAACACTTAGAATCATTTTTATCCTAAAAATACATCAGATTATACTCGAAAAACACAACTAACAACATGAATCAATCTCAAGAAAACTCCAACAACACAACCCACAAGAATTCAAAACGAATTTCATCAAGAACTCAAGGATTTACTTTCAAATCTAATAACTTTGCTGAAATTGAATCATGGTTGCCACGTGGGTGAACTAACCCAACGCTATGTGATCTCACATACCATGTAGGGATCACCCCTTGACGAAATCCACAAGCCAAACTTGACTATCTTGACGAATCTTGCTTCTCTTCTCCTTTCTCCTCTTCTTTTCTCTTCTCTCAAAACCCTAACTCTATTTTCCAAAGGCGTTAACTGACTAAGTTAAGTTTAGACACCTAAGTAATTATCAAAAATGAATTAAAATAAAAGGGTAAGGAAAAGACTAAACTACCCTTCTAAAATCCGGTTTTAGACTTTCCTTATTCGAACAACCCAACTTCCAAAGGGAATAATTCACACATACGAACTCGGAATCGCGCAAAATTAGTGGCATTGGAAAGATCATTCCAAGAGCTTTCCTTCCATATCTGGAAGTACACCTAACTCATCTTGAGATAGAAGTTATGGCCATTTGAAGTTGAACAAAACTCAACTCATTCTAACTTAACAAAATTTCTAGATTTTCATTCTTTCCAAAAATGACTATTTCCAATTATTAGCTTCTTCTTAGTTATTTAAAATTGCGAGATGCTACACAAAGAAAAATTCCCAGGAATCTGGATCATGATAGAAATACTTCTTCTGAAGAAATATATAGGACCCTAAGCATCAGAACTGGATGTGTATGAAAAATCTTTCATTTGTGAGGCTGTAAATGCAGTGATACATACTTATAATTCTTTTTCTTATACATAACTTGGCAGTTCTGGTTTTAGAACTTGTTTCCTTGTTTGAGTTTTGACACTTTTCTCTTTGCTTTAGTTTTTTCATGAGAGTTTTTGTTTTGAGTAGCTCGGTAATATTTCTTGGCTTGTCAATGTTCTAGATGGCACTGATCCAGATGCGGTGGCAAAGTCATTGCATAAGTTTGTGAACTATGGGAAGAAAAACAAATAGTCGGTGGCTGAGTTTCTAGTTACGATGTTAGTAAAGGTACTATGAATCTAGTTAATCTGGCCTCATCTTAAAGAGACTCCCAGTCCCTGGCAAACATATAGTTTTTTGGCTCATTATGGTCTCATTTAATTGCAGTCATTGTGGGTTGAGAAGCTATGGGCCAAAGGACTATGTGCAAGTACCTATGAAGCATCTTGGCTATCTAAAACATGGGACTCCAAAGTTTGCTACATCAGTGTAGTTATCTTTCACTAATTGATGTCCGTTGTGCTAAGTAATCTTTGAAATACTATATTAATGGATTATCGTGATCTTTACAGGATGAGGATTTCATTGATCGGTCTCAAAGTGCTGCAAGGGTTGTTGGGGAAGTAGAAGTGAAACACATTTAATTGTATGTACCTTATGAACAACAAGGAATTGAAGGAAAATAAGATTCTCAATAAGCCAATTCTCTCTCTCTCTCTCGATCTACTTACTATGAAAAACAGAGGACATAGTAGATTTCATTCACGTTGTTAATAAATGTCTCAAATAAAGTTACCCAATTTTTTGTGTAGAGTTATTCGATACTTGTGCTGGCAAGAGATAGCAAATGTTCGATATAATAGTTGAAATGTGTGCGATCTCTCCTTTGAAATACCAGCAATCCCTCTTTTTGAAAATCCAGCACAATATAGCCCATTCTCTCCTTTCCAATTTATCAATGTGCCATCTTCAAGGAATATTGAGCTATAATCCTACATACAAAAGAAAAAAAAATGTACATTATTTGAGACAATGATGATAAAATTAATAGTAAGTCTAATTAGTAACCAGGAAAACTTATCAAGAAAAACTTATCCGCACACGATATTTACAGGCAAGTGGAAAATTTAGAAACTCAAATTTAGAGTTAAAAAAAGAAGAACATAGTGATAATTTGCAAAACATACCTTTAGCCATTTGGTAGCAATATTCTTGTATCCAGTAGCAAAAATGATTGCATCAAATTGATGTTTATCTCCATTGTCAAACAGTATAGTATGTTCCTTTATTTCTAATATTCCAGGAAGTACCTAATAATCAATTGCCCATAAGTTATTTCACAAAAAAAAACCAAGTGTTATTTCCTTTTTTATAATAGATTATTAATGCATATTAGATGAACTATTTACACAAATATACTATATTAGCCAAAATTACTAAATGCTTCCGATTTCGTAACTATAATAGTTCAACGGTTGCCCATGATGATGAACATGTATTTTTATTCTTCTATATTAAATATTACTAATAGGTTCTTGGTAGTAATCAAATTTGAACTTGTGATGTGCGTCTAACCATACATCACATGTTGTACTTTTACTATCAGACCAAAACCGTCGGAAAAACTAAAGCGTTCTATTTTTCACATAATATTTCTCAAAATAGAATGAAATAAAATAAAGATAGTATCATACCATCATCTGTCCAAGTTTAATCTTGTCAGTGGGTCGAACATCAATTACTGGGATCTACCTTTTGATATTTTAACAGAAAATGGGCCTTTTTGGGGTTGTGGTATTCCTAAATTTCCAAATTTTAATTTTGTGTACTTTGCAATTACAGTATCAACCAAAGATATTGGTAAATATTTTAGCAACAACATTGCACTATACACCATCTCCCTTGTTAGAACATAAATCTGCAAAAACATTAGGATAAATTATATTAAAACTTTTAGAATTAACAACCATATTTATCAAAAATATAATTGATTGTGCATGTGAAAAACCTGCATAATCTAACTAGAGAAAAGTTATAGCACTTTGGGAGAACATCATGAACTAGAATGTACATATTTGGGGGTGTAAGTTTCATAATTTGTCGATATATAAAATAAAGAAGTACAAAATAAGATCAATTATAATGTAATTGTATATAACTTGTAGTATTCAAAAACATAGATCAAAGTTGGTAACTGGAATTACCAAGGGTTCTAAAAAAAGAAATATATATGAGTAATGCACGAAAGCTTATATTAAAAGAGAAATTTAAGTTTTATATACAGTTAGTGCAAATAAATTTTTCTACTATCATTAATCAAGTCATCTAATTGATATCTATAGACAAGTTTCTTCAAAATTATGAGATTCAAATTCTTAAAAATTAAAATATGTTATCTATGCAACATGTGAAATGACAATGTATAAAATTGTTAATAAGACAAACTTAGCAAAAAATAAGATTCTACTTATAAGAAAAAGAAACCCTAGTTCTTTTTCTTTGAATTCAGTTCCTCAAAGTAAAAAATATATGAGTTTTTTATACTTATACTAAACAACTTGTCACCTCTCCAAATCCTAGTCTTCTTTTTCTCATGATATAAGATACCCGATGAGACCTGAATTTAAAATTTTTAATTTTGTGTGATTGAGAAATGGAGTAATGAGATATTTCGATGTTTTTAGGATATTTAAATATCTATCCCAAATTTTTGTATTTACAATAATCCAACACCATATTCCTTAATCACTTTCTAGTCTACCAGTATTCCCTTTTTAAAGAACAACTGATTTCATTAAATCAACTTTGAATTCAGAATCGAGGATGTTTTTGCAATTTTGTATAGTTCGTAGAGAGTATATTTGTAAAATATAACACAAATGACAAATCGGTGGAAATTATTGGAGGTGAAGCTAATTCAAAAATATTATTTTAGATAAGAAATACCAAAAGGATATATATGACAGGATGGATGGTCAATAAAGTAGAATGAAAATTGTCACGCCTCGAGCCTACACCCCGGAAGTGGCTGGCACTCGAGAACCTTTTACTGGCCCCCAAACGAACCCTTGGCCTGACTTACTTACTCAGCGGAAGACTTAACTCAACACATATACATCTATGAAATAAATTGGAATGTTATAAAGGAAACATTCAACTGGCCATTAAGGCAAACTTAAGTCTCAACATAAGATAATGACAATGAAAAGACTAAAGAACTAACATTTGACTGTCTATGAAGCCTCTAAAACAACTGAGATGGATGTCGGGACAAACCCCACGACATCCTAATGAACTACTGAAATAACTAAAATCAATAAAAAGGAGTCCTCCGGAATGCAATGAGACTCACCAACTGACTCTGGAGTGCTCACTGGATCAACAATGCACTGAATGCCGATCCTAGTTACCTGTGTCTGCATCATAATAAGATGCAGGCGAACTGGCATCAGTATATTGGATGTACGAGTATGCGAGTTGGAATGCTAAACACAACATAGGCTTGAAAGGAATCTGAAGAACTTACCTGGCTCAACTCCACTCAACATAACTGAATTCATTTCAATATAAAGTAGTTTAAAACAAATGCAATATAAAGAAAACCTGTTTAAAACATAATGTCAACTCTGTGTGTATGCAAAGATACACTAAAACTCTGCAATGTATGTAATAATACAATAAACTGTGTATATAAGAATACAGTTACTTATGTGGGAGTTTCTCTAACCGACAACCATCACGTAAGAGCTATTGTGATGATACAACGTTTTGCCTCACGCTGCAAGGGCGGTCCTATACCTTGCCGAAGGTATAGAACCTGAATTACTAAGTGGATCTACTAGTCTATGCCAAGAGGCACTAAAGGAATCATCTAAAAAGTATGACCCTTTTCTACCCATGATGGCTACATGGTTTATGGGGGCTGTGAGTTGTCTGAACTCTCCCCCATATCAGTTCTCAATACTACTCCCAAAAATATAATATTAGTTCTTATATTTAAAAACATACTTCTTTCTGTGATTTGAGATTAGTGCTAAAAAACATAGCTCAAAGGCTATCTTGCAAATCAAAGTTTCCTCTCTTTCTTCATTTAGAAAGCGATTTCTCTTTTCTGAAAACTAGCCCGAAGGCTCTTTGGAAATCGAAGTTTCCTTTCTTGTTTAAATGTGAAAACATTTCAAACCCTTTGGGAATACATAGTCCCCATATACTTTTGAAGAAATGAACTTCAAACTTTTACTCTTTACTCTTTACTCTACTTGATCTTTAAGTCTTAAAACAAAGTTAAAAGCATTTGCAAAAGACTTCTTGGAAAGACTTTGAGAACTTCCTAGACTTGGCTCTTAACTTTCCTTAAATTTGAATTTATGGATTCAAGGTTATGATTAGTGTTTCAGGATGATTTCTAGATGTTTAGAAGTCATTTAGAGTAGTTAGAATCAATAGGAAGTTTTAGTACACTTTAGAAGGACTTAAATGGGCTAACGACGAAAAATTGATGAAAAACGACAATCCGGGCGCGTCCCTGGCGCGCTGCGCCATCCCCAAATTACTGGGGCTCCAAAATGGCGCACTGCTGGCGCTCCACCCCAGCCTTCCTGGCGCTATGGGGGCGCGTCGCACCACCTGTTCCTTAGGCAAAAATCTGATGAACTTTTGGTCTCGTTTTCTGATCTTAAATTGATTTTAATCAATTCTTTTTCTCAAATTCACTTTAGAATCAGATACCCAAGGTGTATACACAAAATCTAACTCATACAACTCAAGGAATCAACACTTTAATATCAAGAAACTCCTTAATCTCAACTGATATTCAAGAACATCAAATTCTCAATCTTTTTATGATGAAAAAATGCTGAATTAAACATTCTTGGCGCATGGGTGAACTAACCCAACGCTATGTGATCTCACATAGCTTGTAGGGATCACCCCCGATGAAATCCACATGCTAAACTCGACGATCTTGCCGAATCTTGCTTCTCTTCTCCTTTCTCCTCTTCTTTTCTCTTTTCTCCAAGCCCTAGCGTATTTTGGTAAAAGCGTAAACTGATATAATTCTAATTAGACCCTAACTTAATTACCAAAAACGAAATAAAATAATTGGGCAAGGAAAAGTCCAAACTACCCTTTAAAAGTCCGGATTGGAATTTCCTTATTCCAACAGTCTAACTTCCAAAGGGCATAACTCACTCATACAAACTCGGAATCGCGCAAACTCAGCAGCGTAAGAAAGATAATTCCAATTTCTTTCCTACCAAATCTGTAAGTACCTCTAAATTATCTTGAGCTAGAAGTTATGGCTGTTTAAAGTTGGCCAAAACTCAACTTATTCTAAATTAACAAAATTTCCAGATTTTTCATTCTTTCCAAAAATGACTATTTTAAATTATTAGCTTCTTCCTAGTTATTTCAATTTGTGAGATGTTACAAAATCATGGGAAATCATGTTCATGTTCAGGCCCTTTCACATAAGGGTATGACCTGGTGTTGATGGTCAAGAAACCCATACCCAATATCTTGATGAATCGAGTTACAACATTACAAAATGCTAGTAAAAAGTAACAGGTACCATGTAAAATAGTTGATGTACAACTAAACTGATAGAACACCACCATTTTAATAATTTTTATAACAAACACAAACCTACTCACATACAAACAAATAACGATAAAAGTAAAGATAAGGCATAAAGAGATAGAGAGACTTACTGGACTTCTAACAAAAATTGATGTGTGACTTTCATAATTTGAAAGATCAAAAGCTATTTCTATCCCAGAATGTCCTGATCCAATGACCAATACCTTTTTATCCTTATATTTTTTACCAGATCTATAATCACTTGAATTGATTATTTCGCCTTTGAAATTTTCTATTCCTATCATTTTAGGATTATAACCTTCGTTATTTTCTCCAGTAGACAAAATGAAGAAATCACTAGCATACATTTCAATTTCTCCGCTAGTTAAATTTCTTGAATTGACATTCCATTTCTTTTCCCTAGTGTTGTAAAAGGCCGATTCAACATGATGAGTTCGTGATTTGGACTCATTTAGGACTTTATTTGAATAGATTTAGTGTCCTCAAATGCATGTTTTGTACCAAAAACTGATGTAAATCCTTGAATTTTAGGTATTTGGATTGAGGAACAAAGCATGGACACTATTGAGCAAAAAGGAACAAGGCAGCTGAAAGAACGAAGGAAAGAAGGCCTGAGAATCGCCTAACCCATTAAGCAAGTTGTCGAAAGGCCAGGGTCTCACCTAATGTTCTAGAGTGCCAAGCCCTGAAGGAGAAAATCTAGTCAGCAAGAGAAAGGAGTAGTCGGTGAGTCGGCGAACGGGTCCGCGCTGCAGTGCCATATCGCCTAAATTTACAGAACCTGAAGATATTGAAGGCAAAAGGAAAAAGGCGATGAAAAGGACCAAATGGCGGATCGCCTAGTGGATCGGCGATCCCGACCTACTGCGCCGACAAAACCTTCACAACACACTTTTTGACAACTATAAATACTTGTTTAATTTTTTAGCTTAGTAATCAGATTTGGTAGGGAATCATATTATTATTCAGTTTTTGAAGTTGAGAGCTTAAACTGAATAGAGAGACAATATTTCCTTAACTTTGAAGATTTGAAGATTTTCATTTCTAAGAAATTGGAAGTGGGTGTTGAAGATTCTTCATCTTAGACCTTTGTAAAGACTATATCAATCCTACCCAGTTGATGGAAACACAACTTGGTAACAATTTTTACCCTTTTACTATGTCTAGCTAAAACTCCAAATTCTTGGGGTGTGATTATGTGATTATTGTTTGATTTAACTGCTGGGTATTGTTAATTGATAGTTTATTTACTGTTAAAAAGTGATTTCGTTCAGTAATTGTGGTTGAATTTAATGGGTTGTAGTTGCAAATACAATCTTAACTTTGTGTTTTTTGCTTGCTCGAAAGAGAGGTTTTAAAACCAAAATTACTGAATCGATGGTCTGTGGGCATTGGGTTGTCATGAGTTCAGCTCGAGAGAGTGAATCCTAAACCCTTTTCCACACATTCAGCTCGAGAGAGTGAATGGACTAAAGCGAAGGTTGTTCTTCATTGCTGCTTATTGGTGTTTGACAGAAACCAATTTGATTCGAGGTAAATTATTTAAGAGAAAGTTTACCCCCACTAAAGTCTAGCTTATTCACTGATTTGCAGCTGTTTACTATTAATAGCAATTACACAGTTATTTACCTTGGCCCAAAATCTAATCACATCCCAAGAATTCCGTCTCTATATTCGTATTTTCATGTTATTTACTGTTTACTTGATAATACAAACAAACCCCCTTGATATTTGATACTTGTGTCACCTATAATTTAAACCATGTTTTTCTTCGTAAATGTTTTTTGCTATGATTGACTTGAACATATTCTTACTTACCTATTTATTCTCGAGTACGAACCACTCCCTTGGGACTCGACCCCAACTTACTAATTGGGTTATATGACTATTGAACGATTGCTGATGCTTAGTATTGGATGAAGCATCTTTGATAGCGTTACACATTTATCAAAATGGAGCCGCTGCCGAGGAGTGGTGTTACTTGAGAATTTTTAGTTAAGTTGGATTTTGTTCTTGTTAGTTATAGTTCTACTTACTTAATTTTTAGTTTTGTTTTGCTTGTTTGTGTGTTAAAACATGAAGTATGAGTGTGAACGGCAACAATGTCAGCCAAGTAAGCCATCAAGATGACATCAGAAACCTCAACGATGTTAACGAGCCTCATGCTAATGACCCCCATCTCATGGGAGGTATTGGTGCCATTCGCTTGCCTCCCGCTGAAGGGAATGCGGTGTTCCACATCACGAGTACTATGTTGCAACCATTGCAACTAAAAGGGATTTTCAGTGGTTTGGCTCATGAGGATCCCCATGAGCACATTAGAAAGTTCCTGGATGTATGCGGACCATTCTCCTTCAAGAATATCTCCCAAGAATTGATCCGGTTGAGGTTGTTCACATTCTCTTTGATGGGAGAAACGTGCAAGTGGCTGGCTGAATTGCCACGTGAATCAATCACTTCGTGGGAAGAGTTGGTTACCGCATTTCAAGTGCGATTTATCTCTCTCTCGAAGATGATGACTCTTCGGGACAACATTCAGGGCTTTAAGCGTCTAGAGGGCGAGCCGATTCATGAAACTTGGCTGCTATTCAAGAAGTTGGTGCTTCAATGCCCAACACATGGCCTGCCTGATAACGTCTTGCTGCAGTATTTTTACCGGAGTCTTGACTCGGTAAATAAGGGTATTGCTGACCAACTTTCTCTGGGAAGTTTGATGCAGCAACCTTATGTGACAGCGGCTCAACTCTTGGATGTCATGAATACCATAAACAGGTCGTGGTACACTCGTGAAGACCAGGTCTCCCCTCTAACATTCAAGTTGACGAAGGAACAGACAGAGAAGGACCAAGAGAGGGACCAGAACATGGCCAAGATCATGACACAACTTGACATTTTGTCTAAAAATGTCATGGGAGCTGGTGCTCGAAGTGTTAATGTGGTGGGTGTCGGGTGTGCTAATCCAGATGAGTCCAAGTTTGAAGCCTTGTACAATGAAGAGGTAAATTTCCTAACCAACCAAGGCGGTGGTTATCGATCAAACTACCCAAGGCAGGGTGGTAACTAAGGTTAGAGTAGGGATGAAGATTGGAAATATCGATATCATGAATGGAGGGACCGTAATCCAAATTGGAAGGATGGGGAGAAGGATAGGTATGTGCCTCCCCACGAGTGCCAAAAGCCAAAGGATTTTGAAGGTGGTAGGTCTAAGGATATGTTTTCTCGTATCCTCAACAAAGTTGAGGGGTCGGATAAGATCTTGAAAAGGATGAAACAAGCCGTGTCGACCCTTAGCCAGACCGTCACCTCCCATTCAGTGTCGATCAAGCAGTTGGATACCCAAATGGGTCATATCTCGTCTCATCTAAACCCGAGACAGCAAGGGGGGTTGCCTAGTGACACTATCGTCAATCCCAAGAATGAGGTTTGAAGGTGGACTTGCATTGTGCCATGATGTTAACTAAGGCGTTTCTTGGGAGGCAACCTAAGCTTTATTTTCTTTCTTTTTAAATTTGGAATAATAGTGTGTTGATTGTGTAGGTCAAAGTGTGGAAAGTGATTGAAAAGTACAGGTTGGTGAGCAAATGGTCCAGTCAGTGCATCGCTAAAGAGGTTGGCAAACTCGACCTAGACCGTCGTTGGACTCAAAACAATTTTACATTGGAGTCTGTGAAACTTGGCAAGCCCAGGAAATTATTGGCGAATCGCCGACCAGGTCGGCGATCCCGATCTAATCCGCCGTTTGGACCTCCACATCAACTGAAGGTTCTGTAAAACTCAGCGAGGTAAGTGACCACTCGGCGTTTTGCCGAGTTGGTCGGTGAGCACGACTAATGTCACCGAATGGGCGAGAACTGGACGGTTTTTAAAAGGCCAAAGGTTTAAACTTCCAACTCTTTCACTTTCCCTCACTTTTGAACTTCCCAAACTCACACCCACACTTTAGTTCCCTATATTTTTGCACTTTTACCCTGTTTTAGACGTTGGAATTGTGTTCGGAGTGGATTACATTGCCGCCTAGCATTTCAATATCATTTTAATCGGCATCTAAGGTTGGTTTTCCAAACCCCAAGTTTACATTTAGCGATTTTGTACTCATTTTCAATGATTTTATCTTAGTGTCGTGTGCTGGGCTTCTCTGATCTTAATTGTGTATGTGTGTGCCTGTGTTAATTCAAAAATCTTAATAGTAATGTTTAGATTGTTGATTTCCTATGAATTTGTGCCTTAAAATTGGTTATATCTTGTTGGGTTGTGCTTGCATGTTGTTTGGTCTAGTCGGGTGAAGTCTAAGTAACCCGTATTTGTGCCAAATGACATAATTTGCCAAATGATAGAGCGAGTGATGTAATTCTTAAGGGCAAAAGTCATCAAATGGCCAAATTTGGCAAAACCGAGAGAAGTCTGAGTATTCCGGGGTGATGGGTGTTGTGGATTTTACTTTAATTTGACTAGTGCATGCTTTGATTTTGTTTTTGGGGGTTGCGGGGTTAAATTTGAGAAGTTGGGTTGACAGTAGGCACGTTGGTCCCCATTTCGCCTTTAATTTCATCCTTTAATTGATGTTGGGTTCTGTAACTTTCAGCGAGAAGCCTGAGGTCGCCGAAGACACTCGGCGACTAGCTGAAAGTCTTCTTGATCGCCCTTTGTCTGCACCCCTGAACCCTTTTTGCACTGTAACTTTCGGTGGGCTAGGACTTGCTCACCGAAAGATGTCGGCGATTCGCCGAAAGGACCTTCCCATCATCGACTTGCTAAAAATTTTGAGCCAATCCCTTTGGCGAGCCCGACCTAGCTCGCCAAAGATATTCGGCTACTCGCTGACTGGTTCGGCGAATCTGTCTACAACTAGTTTTCTGTGCTTTTGTTTGAAGTTTTCCAACTTTTTCCTGATGTTTTGCAGATATGGTGAAGAAAAATAAAGATATGACACCCCAGAAAAGAGTATGGGGTATCATTATCAACGAAGAGGGATCAAATCCTCCAAAAAGAGGAAGACAAGAGCCTCCAACTAGAGGTCAGAGTAGGGGCAAGAGGCCCATTTATGACAGGGATACTACTCCCATAGGCCCCTATATTCCTTCATGGCCTGGGGATTCTATGCAGCTGCGCAGACCTATCTAGCAGACCAATCTAGCAGACATACCTTTGGCAGCTCCTAGTGGGTCTGGTACTGCTGTTCCTTCTAAGGTGACCCCGGGCACTGATGCCCAAGTTCAGATTGATGCACCGGGAACTGATATCCAGACAGATGGAGCGACTGATTAGACAGGACCCCTCTTTATCTCCCTCTCTATCTTTCTTTATTTTAACTTTTGTATATTTTTGTTTGCATTTGAGGACAAATGTT